TTATAATACAAATAATAATAAATTAAATTTAATAATTTACTTATAATATTCTCTTTCTTGCTGTGCCCAAGTATTATGAATTGCCCATTTATTTACTGTTTGTTCTAATTGTGATTCAGGAATATTATTAATATTAAAACGCATTGTTTTGCATTTAATACATAAATCACTTCGAGGAGAAAGAAATTTAATTTCAGGAAGATATAATTTTCAAATATTAATAAAACTTGTTAAACTAATTGCTTGATTAGAGTTATCTGTAGTTATTGAATTATATAAACGAAATAAGCTTAAATAACTATCTGTTGCTGGAAGAAAAATTATAGCTTTGGTATCTTCATTAAAATGACGACCTAAAATAAAATAATTAATTTTAATATTACAGTATTATTAATAAAAATAAAAAATAAAATATTTTATACCAGGAGATGGAAATCCATAAATATTTGCATAATTTGAAACAAATATTAAAATATTCATAACAGTTTCAAAAGGAATTTTGTTATTACTATGTTTTCCTTTAAGCCTATGAGAAATTGGTAAAATATTATTTTCAAGAAAATGTTTACGAATTAATTTTCATTTCCAAGCTGATATATCATAAATTAATAAAAATGCTTCAGAACAAATATGATCTCCATTAAACTGATATTCATTAGTTAAATATTTTTTGTTTTTTCCATGCTCAGTAACAGCTTCTTTTCTAACTAAAGAATTAAGTAAACCTAATAAAAACATATTTTTTTCATCTTTTGACATTAGTTGGATATTTTTCTATTTTTTAATTGCAATTTCACGATCAATAATTTTTTTTGTACATTGCAAAGTTAAACAACATTCAAATGAGTCAAATTTAAAACAAAAAGCATTAATATCTTGCTCAGTAAATTCTTTTTGTTTTTTATCAAGTCCCATTAAATGTTATTGACTAATGACCTATAAATATTGGGACTGCAAATTAATTATTAACTCAACGATCTAATACGCCTTATAATAATTATTCTTTTTGTGATTTGTTTATAAAATGGAATCAAATAATCAATATAACCCACTCGATGATACAGTTAACACAGTTTTAACTGGACTACTTCCAGTATTGATTGTTGGCTTATTTAAAGGATTTAAAAAGGCAAAAAGAAGGGGTTTTTCTTCACCAATAAATGCATTTGATGATTTTATCATATTTTCCTCAATTATCATATATCCTTTGGTTTCTGGACTTCAACGGTATAGCAACTATTCTAATTTTGGAAATCTTTTAATCATTATATCTATTGCCGCTTCTATTAGAATATTAACTTTATATTTTAAGGCCTTCATAAATATGCAGCGGGATATAGAATATTATTATAAAAAATCTGTAATTTATTTTAGCATCTTTCTTTTATGCTTTATTTCATTAAATAGTTATAATCATATTAGTCAATTCTGTATTGATAATTTCCATCTTGGCAATTTTAGATTTTTGAGAACTATAACTTCGTCAATTTATGGAATATGTGGCATGTTAAGTTTATTTGTTAGCATTTATTATTATTATCATGTAAAATTTACAGCAATTCATAAATGGGTTAAAGAAATTCATGAACGTTACCCTATTATTCATTACTTTTTGATTTTTGCTAATCATTTTATGACTTTTATATTAATGATTTATCCACCTATTATAGTTGGATACTTACTTAGTACCAATTCCATTACTACTAAAATTTCTTTTTCAATTTGCAGTATATCTTTTAGTCGTTTAGTTGCGCATTTTGGCGAGGCTCCTGAAGATATTAATACTGTAATTTCTTATTATCTGAATTATCATGAAGGTCTTAAAATAAATGCTACAGAAGTTCAAAGAAATGAAATACTTAATGATATACTAGAAATTTTAAAGAAAGTAGAAGATTTATTGTAGAATAGCTACAGAATTCTAATATATAGAAAAGTTAACTCATCTATTAAGTATTCTAATTTTTGCCATGTTTAAATTTTAGTATAGAATTTTTTTTTCTTAAAATTTATAGTTTATCTATTTCATATACACATATTTTTTATCAAATTTACAAATTATAAAGTAAGTTTCGCGTCATTTTTCTTAATTAACATGTGCCATTCGTAAATTAAGAAATGACATAATCGTTTTTAAAATCGGTATCTATTTACTGATTAATAAAAAAATTTTGTAAAAAAAAAAACTAGAAAAATAAATATGATTTAAAAAAAAAATAAAATAAAATAAAAAATATTCATATATATTAGAAATTTGTGTACACAACGTAAAACACATCTACATTTTCTTGAACATAACGAACTATTTTTTTTTCTTTTTTTCAAGAGTATAACTTAATGCCGCAAATTCGTTTTTCGATCTCGTGTTCGGTTGCTTAATGTGTTGCACAAATTATTCTATAAACATATTTGCGGATATTTTGAATTACTATTTAAAAATTCCAAAATCTTTACCCATAAATAACTTTTGATCCACTGGTCAGTTTTGGATTATTTTACCATCAAATGACCATCTCAATAAGACGACTCTAACGAGCTCAAAATCGTCAAAATCCAATCATGGGATCCCGAGATCGTTAAGGATTTATGTCACTTCAGATGTTTTAGAATTGGCTTAATCAATCCTAAAACACTCGAAGTGGCACAAGTCCTTAACAATCTCGGGATCCCATGATTGTATTTTAACGATTTTGAGCTCGTTAGAATCGTCTTATTGATACAGTCATTTTGACGGTAAAATCATCCAAAACGGACCAGTGAATCAAAAGTTATGGTTAAAGATTTTGGAATTTTATAAAAATATCGCGGATATGATATAGTGAGCTTGCGCTAGAGTGACTGGCACGGGTAAAAAATTTGGCATGCCATGTGGCATACCATTTGTCAAAATTCATGCCCAGTGCCACTCCTGGCATGCCATGG